GCGGCCGATGTCATGGCCCTTCCTCGCCAACTTCGGGTCAAGGTAGCGAAGGTTCTCAGTATGAGATTCAAAAATCGAGGCGGCCTCAGATGGATCACGCAGAAGTCCATGTCCAGTCTCCAGCATCGAGCGCAGCGTGTCGAGGAGGATCGCATCCAGCTTCGCCTTCCCAGCACCGCCACCAGGCACATAGATCTTGCCTGACTGGTAGACCGCCCTGCCACCTTCCGACTCTGACTCGGAATAGCCAGGCTGGAACCCCTGCAACGTCGTCCACGCCGCAAGTGAATCATGGCGCTCATCTGGAAAGCTCACCGACCCGCCAAAGACCGCGAGGCGACGTACAGCTGCGCTTTGGGGCACCGTCAGCACCGCATCATGAGCGACCTCTCGCCCTTGACCTCCCAGAGCATTTAAACTGCGAGTCCCATCTCGTAGACATCTGTTTTGACGATCGCGCTTTGCGCCGCGCCTGATTGGAACAACTGAACATCCGAGCGGCTGAGGCCCGGGAAGTACAGCGTCCAACCTGGCGCCCACTGGGATCGGCAGAAGGTCCTGAGATGGAACACAATCGTCCATGAGCAAAACCCAGCACCGGGTAGTCCACGGGCGCCCCCCCTGCGAAATAACAGTAACTGTTCGGGGGCCACCAATCGCCGCAACCGTGTACGCAAATAACGGCGACGCAGTTCACCCTGCCCCGCCAGCTGCCTTGGCGGCGGCTTTCGCCTTGGCAGCGGCCTTCCTCTTCTCCTTCGCGCCCAGCTGTGGCGGAACCTGCAGCTGGGCCTGGCCCGCGACGGCGGGGGGCGGGGATAGCCCCGCGCCAATATAAGCATACGGCGCAGGAACCGTGGCCCCCCCGAGCGAGGCCCCCCGCGACAGCAGCTTCTCCTCGCTGGCCTTGCGTCTCTTTTTCGGCACGGCTGCGTCCTTCTGAAGGCGCTCGGCAACCCTCTCATTTATCTCTGGAGCGACAAGGGCCGACCCGCGCCCAGACGACTGCCCAAGAAAGATCTCACGCTCATCCAGCCACCCGCTGCCGCCAGCGCCTGCGCCGCCCTCGGCCTCCTTTAGCGCAGTGCTGTAAACTTCCTAGTGCTGTAAACTTCCTCCCGCAGCTGGCATCGCCTACAAACCATCTCGTAGCGCGCAAGCTTCGGCAAGCACACCTGGTCGACCTGACACCCGACATCGATCAACTCACGTAGAAAAGCGTGTTCGTCTACCCCAGGATCGTCAGGCGTCAAAGAGGGAACCTGCCGCCAACACAGGTGGCGTTGCATGCCTGTGCACCCAAGCCTCGCCAGCTGTAGCAACAACCGTTGACAGGTACGCGGCCCGTTGATGGGCCAGATAGGGATGGACTCTGGCTCCATCACCTGAACAGCCTCCGAGACGGCGCGGCTGTTCTCGCCCAGCATGTCGGTCTTTACCGCCAGCGTGCGCACGTCCTGTGGGGGGCCACGTGGTGTCGGCACTTTCACTGAGCCAGGCGCGCCGACGGCCAGAACACAAGGGCACCTCGCGGAGAGGAGCGACGTCTGAGCCTGGCCTGCCGACGCCACCACTCTTGTTCTCTTCCTCTTGGCCAGGGGCCGCCTCGACCCCGCCCCAGGGGGACCAGCCTTCGTCCAACGAAAGGGTTTCTCTCGCGGCCCCCGTGTGGCCCTGAGGGGGACCGCCAGCACCCGCCCCCAACTCGGGGAAGACGCGGCCGCCTCGGCCCGTCTCTCGGCCTGCTGCCAGACGCCTGGGGCTGCTGGGCCCGTCCTGCGATGCCGGTGGGGAGACGGGGGGAGGCTCTCCGAGGACACAGTTGTCGAGATGGCGGCCCGACCACATGCTGGCGAGGTTGATGACAAGAGAGGCCAAACCAGACGGAGGAAGCACGCACGGAGACCGAGCACTCCGTATGGACTTACTCGGTATGGACCTAGCCTCCGATCAGGAGAGGCTAAGTCTGGAGTAAGCCCAGACGGAGACCGAACGCTGCGTATGGACTTACTTCGTATGGACCTAGCATCCGCAGGTGATGCACCCATATGAAAGGAAGCCGGGAAGGAGGGAGGGAGGAGAGGGGCGACGAAAAACCCAATCGGATCATACCAACCAGCGGGCCTCAACGACGGGAAATCATCAGACCTAGTCCTTGGGGGCAGCCTGGAAGTGGCCACTTCAGGATTGTACCGACGTGGTGCTCTGCTCTGCTCAGTCGTGGTCAAGAGCATGGAAACATTCGGTGCCATTGTACAGGATAATGATTTGGCTCTCGACTCCGCTATGGTGGACAGAAGCAGCGATCGGCTCCGTGCTGCTGGATACCGCCGCGGTGATCGACACCGTCATGGTGTCGTGGTGGACAGCGTGGTAGCACCCGGTTCCCAAATAATGGGCTCCGTCATGGTGGACAAAATGGGATCGACTCCGTCGTGATGAATACCATGGTAGTGTCCGACTCCGTCATGGTCGACACTGTGGTAGCGGCGTTCGACTCCGAAGTGCTGGATACTGACGTGGCGCTCGACTCACTTGTGGTGAACAGCAGATTAGAGTCCTATGCCGATGTGCAGTGCTAGGTTCAGCCGCGTGGCCGATATTCGGCCTTCTACGTACGGTCTGCTCGGGGAGACCCTGCGCCTCAACACGAGAATCGGTAGCCCGAATTTCGGCCACGCCCACGGGCCAACTGCGCCTATAAAGGGACTTGGTGGTCGACTACCTTTTGGATGATAACGTGGTACCCCATGGTACTGGATACGGACTGGAGGCTTCAGGATGCCTCCGCGGACCTCCGCGGAGGCATCCTGCAGCCTCCAGGGGCGGAGCAAACAACGCAAAATAATGCCCCACCATCAAAGCAACTACTCCCTCTCCTCCCCCCCTCGTCCTCCTCGAACCTGAAAAGACTTCGATCCCCGCCCTCCTCCCCTTACACTTCCTCCCCTCACACTTCCATCCTCCCCCTACACTTCCTACAGGCGGTGGTCGAACCAAAAAAACTTCGACCCTCTCCTCCTCCTCGAGCCTAAAAAACTTCGAACCACAGTCCACGATACACTTCCTCATCCCCCTCGGACCTCGACCCACCCGCCTCCCCTGAGATCTCTGGTGTTACGCAAAAGCTTCAACATCGCGAACACTCATCACTGGAGCCCAAGACCCAATCCAATCTTTTTGTAGCATCTTCCGAGCTGGGTCGATCGGTGTTGGCTCTGGGGCCCGAGACGACACAACGTCGCCCGTTGCAGCACACATTGCGACGCCAGGATCCGAGGTCGGCTGGACGCAATGAGGGCCCCTGGGTGAGAGTCACCTTTGGTGCGCGGCTTCTGGGAGGCGCGAGGTGGCCAAACCCAAGGGCGCAGGCGGCTGCTACCGCAGCGCGCTCAGCGATAGGGGGGGGCCCGATGAGCCCGCACCAAAGGTCACTCCGGCGCAGGGCCACTCCTACAGTCGACCCGTATCATAAAGGATACGCGAGAAGGATACGAGGGCCTTGGAAGGCCATCTCGCAGCTTTTCGAGCGGGGCGCGGCCTGCGAAAGTGGCCAGGGATGGACCGAGGAGGCAAGGATGCAAGGGTAACGCTGGGAAGGTTGCCGTTCCTGTCTATGCGGATTGACTGTACGTGTAGTCGATCAGGAACCTCCTCGAACCGAAATGTTCTTAGAACCCAACAATGATGTAACAAACAAGGTTCCTAAATCATAGACTCGATGTGTTAAGACAAAACGGTCTCAGGCAGAAATGTGCTAAGAATATTTCACGCGGACCAGGAAAGGCTCTTAGAACAGTCTCTGCTGGGCCTACGGGCGAGCCAGGGCGCTTCGCCACTGCTTGAGTGCAGTCGCTCAGAAACCTCCTTGAACCTCAGACCTCGAGACTGGCCCCAGCCGGCCGCCCGCGCCAAACTGGGGGCCTGCAGCAGCGCGTAGCACAGCTGCGGGTTGTCCTGCAGCAGCGCGCGGGCGCCCTCCGGCGACTCCTCTGCTGCTGGGGGGGGGGAGCTAGTTTCGGCGCTGGCGCGCCGGCGTCCCGAGGGGGAGGGGGGGGTGGGGGTGGGGCGCAGAAGGAAGCCCCGATTGGCGACGACGTGTTCTAATTCAAACCTGTTGTTTTTACCCGACGTCGCCCTCCGGGGACCGTGATCGAGCTCCGGGGACCGTGATCAATCCAGAACGCATCCGGAATGCAAGACTAGCCCGAGAGAGGGGGTTGGGAGTGATGGGGCCGCGGATGATCAACAAGAAATCGAAGGATGTCTGGGAGATGGGAGGATGACAAGGAGGGAGGAGGAGCAGGAATTCATGAACACTCTGCGGAGCCTGAAGCTCCTCAATCAAATATGCAGCGCGTAGACACTGGAGTGGCAGACACTGGCCGCATCTCTTCGCTTGACTAAGGAGAGGAGAAGGAGGCAAGAGCAGCAGGAGGGAGCAGGGGACCAGGAGGGGACGGCGGACTCTATAGCACGCTGCTCCATAGCACCATGCTCCAAGCACGAACTGGCGAGCCGCTCGAGGAGGAGAGAGGGTAAACAACTCACAGGTCGAACCTGGAGGAGGCACAAAGGACACGCGGCTGGTGCGCGATGACTGGAAGCTGAACGAGACCGCAGAGGCCTACCGATCGAGGGGATCGCAATCCGCCAAAGCGAGAGCATACTAGTGACATCCGGCATGGACCCAGCCAGCAGAAAGCAAACGACCGACCAGCCACACAAGAACAGCATGAGCCAGAACACCACCAGGACCTCTAAAACGACACCAGAGCGACGAAAACAAAGGGGTCTTACGCGAGATGCCGTAGCGACCTTCAGTACGCGGCGGCTTACGCGGGCCGCTGGCGCGGCACGCTGCAGTCGAGACGAAGGCGCCCACGCGCGACCTCACGCGGGCAACTTACGCGCCAATATCGGCGCAGACGACCTAGACTTCTTGCGTCGCTCACATGCCGAGCAGCGGGCCTCACGACCTGACAGAGCTCGGACCCTCATAACGTGCAGCATGGACCTAGCCAACCGAAAGCAAACGAACAAGCAACCACACAGGAACAGCACGAGCCAGAACACCACCACGGCCTCCAAGACGGCACCTGCCAAGCAGCAGGCCCAACGAACCGATAGAGAGCTCGGACCCTGCTGACTGCACCAAGACGAGAGAGGTTACGGCAGGTTCGTGTCGTGTCGACCCCAGCGTTGGTTTTTGACACCGCAGGGATCCTTCAACCTTGAACGATCGGCCGCTGCCGCAACGTCCGATCGTTCAACATCGATCGATTCTGGGTCGCCGGCGGCGTTCAACCTTGAACGCCCGCGCTGGGGTCGCCGCTGGTCGACACGACGCAAACCTACCGTACACACACACACAGGCACACGGGGAGGGAGGCGGAGAGGGGAGCAGCAACCCCTTCCCCCCCCACCGCCCCCCTCCTGAGACGAAGCCAGGACCAGGCTAGAATCGGGCGAGGAGGGTTCGAGAATCCCTGCCCTCGGCCCCCCAAGGCCCCTAAGAAGCCTCCACGAAGCTCCAAGAAGCCTCCCATGGGCCCCCACGAAGCGCCCAGAAGGGCAGCAAGAGGCCCCGAAAAGGCGCCCAAGCCCTGAGGAGCAGCACGCCACGACCGCCAATTCCTCAAGGGGTCGGCGGTGTGGCGTGAGCCCAAAAATCCACGTCCAGACTGCAGCCAAGCGTCTCGGCAATCCGACAGGACGGGTGTGTGACGCCAGGGCCCAGCCACAATACGTAAAGGAAGGACAGTTGCAAAACATTGTCTTCTTATACATTGCAAAGCAACCCCCCTTAATCCCCCCCCAGGGCCGCCGCCGGGGTGCCGACCCATTTCCACATCGAAATAATGAAAAAACTGTCCAAAACCTGTCGGAAATCTATGATTTCGGCACCTTGGGCCTCCTGAGGGGCCAAGACGGTCTCAAGACGGCTCAAGATGCTCGCAACACGGCTCAAGACGGCCCCAAGACGGCCCAAGATGGCCTCAGGAGGGCCTGAGAAACCCCAGTGATGGCCTAAGGGGGCTCCAAAAGGACGCTCAAAAGCGCCTCCGGAGGCCTAAAATATTTGTTGTTGTTTGGTTTTCGTTGATTTTTCTCGCTTGCGCCTTTTGCGCTCTCGGGGGGCCATGGCGGCCCAAACTGCTTCCAAGGTGGCCCCTAAAACTGCCCACGACGCTCCCAAGAAGGCCTCTATACGGCCCACGAAGGCCCCAAGATTGCCGAAAAAGGCCCCCAAGACGGCCCCGAAGGCCCCCCGAGAGCTCCCCAAGACGGCCTCCACAGAGGCCAGACGGCGCAACAGCGCCCCGAGATAGCCCAAAAGGCGCTCAAGAAGCCCCAAGAGGCCCCAAAGAAACCCCAAAGAGGGCCTCAGAGGCGCCCAAGACACCCCAGCAGGCCCGACAAAGACTTTACTGCGCGTGCTCAAGAGAATCTGGATCGGCTGCCTTCGCAGAAATGCGCGGGGGCGCTGCTAAATCCGCCGTATTAAGACCGCAAGGCTATAACATTTCTGACACGCCACCAACACGCAACGTATCCAATGTATCCACTGATTGCGTTATTGCTACATATCGTATGGCGTTACATTAGTATGTCTCCCCCCTTTCACCTCCCCCACGAGGCCACCCCACAACCGCCGACCCAAGAGTGGCGGACCTCTTCTGGACCCACACAGGTAAACAAAAACCAAAAAAAAAAAAAATGATTCGGGCCTCCTGGGCCTGTTGCGGGGCTAAGAGGCCGTGAAGACGGCTCAAAATGGCCTCAATACAAGCGAAGACGGCCCAGAGACGGTCCAAAATGGCCCCAAGAGGACAAAACAACACCCAAGACGGCCCCAAACGGCCTTAGAAAAAAGTCCAAGAGCGCCTCCGGAGGCCAAAACCATCGATATTCCGGTTTTGAAGAACCTTCCTTAGCGATCACACGCAGCACGAGCGCCCCAAGACGGCCCAAGACGCCCGCAAGAGGCTCCAAGAAGCCCCCACCCAAGACACCTCCAAGAGGCCACAACGAAGCTCCGAAGAGGCCCCGCAACGACTGGACTGTACGTGGTCAGGACGTGCACCCCGCGGAGCGAGAGGAATCCACGTCCAGAAGTGACGTGCTGAGCGGCAGCGTTTTCTGCGGGGGCGACCATGCAACGACTCCGACGTAGCCAATCGTTGAGTAACTGCCATAGGTTGCCTTGTTTTACACCATTACGTCTCCCCTGCTAGCCCCCCCTTTGGAGTCGCGCCACTCCGCCGACCCAAGATGGATTCCCCCACACAAAACAAAAACGAAATCGACGATTTGGGCCTCTGGGGCCTCTAGGAAGGTTTAGACTGCTGCACGCTTGCCCAGGATGGCCTCGGGGCTGGCCAAGGCAGCCCCAAAACGGCCCGAAATGGCCCATGCAGAGCTCATGAGGCCCTCAAGACGGCCCAAGAGGGGCCCCACGAGCGCCCGCAACAGCGCCCCCCGAGGCCAAAAACATAACTTGTCCATTGGTTTTGGCAGATTTTAACATCCTCGCGCGCGTCGACTTTCAAAAATCAGCGACTGCCAAAGCAGCAGCCCGGATTGCCCCAAGAAGGCCCCCAAAAAACCCAAAAGGGGCCTAAGACGGCCCCGGAACGACCAAAAACGTCCCGCAAGACGGTCCAGGAGGCCCCCAAAACAGCCCAAGAGGACTCCAAGAACGCCGCGAGGCGGCCGCGAGAAGCCCCCAAGACGGCCTCTGGAGGAGTCAGACGGGCTCCAAGCGTCCCCAAACGGACCGACATGGCCCCACGAGGGCCGAAAGAGCTCCCGAAACGCCCCCTCCAAGGCCAAGAGGTCCCCAAGGAGCCCCCCTGAGGCGCTCGAGAACGCCTTTGCGCATCGCACGGGAAGCTCCGGAAACTGGTCATCCGTGCATGTGCGACGCTAGTACAAGCGGCCCTCCGACCGAACGTTGACATACTGCACTTGGCTCGACGCGCGTTCCTCCGAGGTCGTTCACATCGCTGCATAGCTGGGCACAGGGTGGTCCTCAAGACGGCTCTCGAAGGATCCATGCGACCCTAGCGCGCCCGAAGGCGGCCTGGAGCAGTCTCAAGTCGGCAAAATCTCATGAAGTCGATGCCCATAGAAACGATGAGCATCTTCCAAAACGCACCTAACGCCCGCGCACTCCGCAATCCGGACGTGCACCCCGCGAAGCGAGAAGAATCCATGTCCGGAAGTGACGTGTTGCCGGAGGCAGGTCCGCGGATGCTGTAGTGCAACGTATCCAATAGATCCAATGACTGCACAATTGTAATGTATCCCATCATTACATATAATTTGTACATCTTGCATTGCGTTACATTATGATGTTTCCCTCCCTTTACCAAAGGTGGAGGCCCTCATTTTGGGGCTCAGAACCTACACAAACATATGGAACGTCAACGCTCGGCCTCTTGGGCCTCTGGGGACTCCAACAGGGCCTAAGATGGCCCAAGATGGCCACAAGACGGCCCAAGACGGCCCCAAGACGGCCCAAGAAGGCGCCAAGAGGGCCCATGAGGCCCGCAAGACGGCCCCAGAGGGCCCCCAAAGGAGCCCCAAGAGCGCCTCCAGAGGCTAAAGCCATTGCTATGTTTCCGGAAGTTTTTGGAGAATTGTTGCGTTCTCGTCTTTTTCTATCCTTAAGAGGTCCATGACGGCCCAGGCAGCCACCAAAATGGTCCCAGGACGGCCCCAGAGGCCTCCACGAGGACCCCAAGCAGCCCAAGAGGGCCCCAAAGCGGCCCAAAGAAGCCCCCAGGATGGTCCAAGAGGCCCACAAGACGGCCCAAGAGGACCCCAAGGGAGTCCACCGCGGCTGCGAGAGGCCCACAGGATAGCCTCCGAAGGAGCCAAACGGCGCAAGAGTGCCGCAATACGGCCCAGGACGCCCCCAAGCGGCCCCAAGAGGCCCCAAAGAAGCCCCCAAGCGGCCCCAAGAAGCCCACAAGAGGTCTCCAAGAGGCCCCAAAGAGGCTTCCACCAGGCCCCACAACGTCGGGACTGCTCCGGACGTGCACCCCGCGAAGCAAAAGGAATCCCTGGAAGGCTCTGGAGAATGCATCGGGCGCCGCGGCCTTCTCAGAGCGTTCCAGAACGCTCGGAGAGCGTTCTGGAGCACCTCGGAACGGATTTGTCCTCGTCCTGGCCCCGTCCGACCTCCCCGCTCCCTGTCGCCCACACCCTCCACGATGCGCAGAAACCACCCATGGTGCAGCCTGTGCACCACCCCGCCGTGCCTGGCTGAGGGCACGGGCATGCTGGAGACACGCCCTCGCTGCCGAGGGTCACGACGGCGCGGGCACCACCCCGGATAGCGGGGGAACGTGAGGGTGACGAAGGGGGAGCTGGCTCCGGGGGGGGAGGGGAACATCGATCTGGCCCCCCACACACACACACACACACACACACACACACACACACACACACACACACACACACACACACACACACACACACACACACACACACACACACACACACACACACACACACACACACACACATCATCGGCCACACACACACACATCATCGGCCACACACACACACACATCGCACATACACGTATCGCAAATACGCCCTCCGAAGGCCTAACCGCACGTTCCTGGGCGGCGGGGGGGCTATCTGGCTCCGGTCGGCGCATCCCACCTCTGAATCTGTCCGCCCCCCCCCGCTGCCCCAGGTCCCCGGGAGAGGGCCCAGCACCGCGACGCGGGCCAACGGAGCCACTCTCTCGTGGCCGCGCGCGCGCGGCGCCCACAGCGCGGCCGACGACGACGACGACGACGGACGACGACGGACGACGACGGACGACGGACGACGACGACGACGACGACGACGACGACCATGACGACGACGACCACGGCGACGACGACGATGACGACCACGGCGACGACGGCGACGAGGATACGACGAGGACGAGGACGAGGACGAGGACGACGACGATGACGACGACGACGTCGGCCTCGCCCGCCGCGCCGCGGGCGCGCCCGATCGCGGCGGCCGCGCGCGCCCGATCGCGGCGGTCGCGCGCGCCCGATCGCGGCGGCCCCGTGCGGGCGCTGGTCGCCGCCCTGGGGGGGCCCGCCGCGCGGGGCCGCGGTCACTCCACGCCGTACCCGCGGGCGCTGGCCGCCCCGAGGCCCTCCTGGTCGGAAGGCGACTTTCACGGCGGAGGCATGGCACGACGACGACGACGACGACGACGAAGACGACGACGACGACGACGACGACGACGACGACGACGACGACGACGACGACAAGGGCGACGACGACGACGACAAGGGCGACGGCGAGGGTGACGGCGACGGCGACGGCGACGGCGACGGCGACGACGGCGACGACAACCACGACTTCGACGAGGACGATGCCGACGACAACGACGAGGACGAGGACGAGGACGAGGACGAGGACGAGGACGACGACGACGGCGGCAGCAACGGCGTCGGCGACTGGCGCCGGTGGCCAATGGCGGCCGACGCTCCACGCCGGCCGTGCCGCGAGGACCGCATCCTGGCCGGGTGGATTGGGCGACAGGCCCTGCGCCGAAAGCCCCGGGCCCGATGGAGGTATCCAACGATGGAGGTATCCATCGGGGTCCTTCTCCAGAGCTAGGGTTAGGTCGGGCAGGTCCTCCTACAGGCCGATTTTGGAGGACAAACAAAAATATCCTCCTCCTCCCTCGCTCCTCCTCCCTCCTCCCTCACTCCTCCCCGTCTGGTCGGCCGTGGAGTTCAGTGCACAGACGTCCCAGCTTTCCAGGCTGTGGAGTGCTGGAGCGCCGATGCACCAAGTCCTTCCCCAGCTCCTCGGCACCTTGGGCGACCAAGCAACGTGTGGTATCCATCGAGCCCCCCCACCCTGGAGCTGGCCTGAGAGGGGGCGCGCACGCCGAGATCCTGGCCCAGGGTGGAACCTGCCAGAGTCCGGTGCACCTCCTCCTCCTCCTCCTCCTCCTCCTCCTCCTCTCGTCCTCGTCCTCCTCCTCCTCCTCTCCTCCTCCTCCTCCTCCTCCTCCTCCCCCCCTCCTCTCCTCCTCCTCCTCCTCCTCCTCCTCCTCCTCCTCCTCCTCCTCCTCCTCCTCCTCCTCCAGGGCGCCGAACAAGCGGGCACGGGCCGAGCGGGCAAGGGCGGGCCGAGCGGGCAAGGGTGTGCCAAGGCAGCTTCCGCGAGGCCACTGTGCGTCCCTGCTGCACGCGTTGGGCCTGAGGCGGGCTCGCACCGTGGCGACCCAAGCGTGGCTTCTGTGGGGGGCCACATGCGAACCCTACCCCTGCCCCCCACGATTTCTGAGGGGGAGGGTGGGGTTCACTTCGTTTGGGAGCTCCCGAATGAAATGAACCCCACCCTCCCCCTCAGAAATCGTGGGGGGCAGGGGTAGGGTTCGCATGTGACCCCCTACTCTGACGCCGCGCGGATCGTTCCACCTGGAACGGTCGGCGGCTGTCCGATCGCCCGACCGTTCCGTGTTGGCCGCTTCTGGGCCACCGGCGGCGCTCAGCTGAACGCCCGCGCTGAGGTCGCCGCCGCGTCGACGCGCCACGAACCCGCCGTAACCAGAAAGCGGCCCCAGGGACACGCAAATCAATATACACAAATCCACGGGTTCCCCACGTGTTCCCGTATTTTCTGGGTTCTCGTCTTCCCCCACACTTCCCATATGTTCCAACATTTTCCTAGGAGTCGACGATTCATTGTGTCTGTGTTTTCTTCCCCTCCTCAAGCCAGGTGGATGCTTGGCGTCCCTGCAAGCTCCTGGTCGGTGCTGGCGCTCTCTGGTCCCGCTCTCCGCTGGGCTGGCCACCCTTGCCCTTCTGGCACTCTTGGCGTCGCTGCCGCGGCGCCATCACCCCGATCCTCCCAGATCTCCGATGCCGTGGTCTGCACAGCCCCAAGAACTCCCACCCCCTTCCCCATTCCCTGGGGGCCGGATCTTTCGCAGAGCCCCTGCAGGTTCACCAGGGGTCCCCGGGAGCTCCTCCCGGGGCTGCTCAGCCTCCTACGGAGGTCTCTCCCTCGAGGCCTCCAGAGGCCCCGGCAAACTAGGAAACGCCGGCCCGGCACACACGACGTCGAACTTCTGGGCTCCTGGCCGCCGCTGGCGCCCCTCTTCGGCTCCTCGCTCATGCTGGCGTCGCCGCCGGCCCTCGCCAGCTCCTCCACGCCTCTGACGATGATCGCGGCGGCTGTGTCAGCGACGGCAGCGGCGGCGGCGTCGCCGACGACCGACGACCGACGACCGACGACGACGACGACGATGACGACGACGACGAGGACGACGACCGACGACGACGACGAGAACGACGACCGACGACGACGACGACGACGACGACGACGACGACGACGACGGAAGCGGCAGCGGCGCCACGCCTATGAACTGGCGGAGGGCCGCGTCGTGCCGACTGCTGGGCGAGGGCAGCAAGTAGTCCGTGACGCGCAAGATCTCCGGGTGTTGCGTGATCTCGCGGGCCTCCCACCCGGCCTCTCCCCACAAGGGCGTGATAGGGGGAGGAGAGGGCAGGGAGCGAAGGCCGAAGATGTGCGGGCAAGACTTGTCCATGTCCACTGGAGCTTGTAGCTTCGGGCTCCCTTCCCAGATACCCGAGGCGCGCTGGATATAGGGAATCGAACTCTCTCTCTCTCTCTCTCTATATATACCGACGCTTCTTCCGGCCCTGCATCAGAATTTGCACTGGAGAGCAGATCCTGGTGTATACGGGACCCTGGTGTATACATGTTTCGTTGTTTCCCCGGGACATCTGGGAAAAAAAGGTATACACCACACCACCCCAGCGTCGTCCTCGACCCTCAAGGAATCCTGGGATTCAAAATCAGCCCGCCACTGGTAGTGTATTGATCCAGTTTCCGAGGATATGCATGAAGATCAGGCCCATAGAGGCTAGATGCCATCCATACCCAGTGCGCCTCGGCCGTGCGGCACCCCTTCCAATGTCCCAGACGCGCTGAATATGGATATGGATATGGATATGGATATCTACGTAATTGTAGCCATGTGCACTAGAACCACGCGCACGCTTCGCGCGCGCTTAGGTTCTGGCCGCAGCTGCGCCACGCGTTACGGCCCTCGCTTTCGCTCGTGTGATCGGCGACTTTGCGAAGTCCGCTGCATGTGGGCGTTGCAGAGCCTCCATCCGCCTCGGCCCCCTCCCCTCCCCATCCCTCGGCATCGTCCTCCTCCTCCTCCTCCTCATCCTCCTCCTCCCCGTGCTCCTGTTCCTGCTCCTGCTCTTCCTCCTCATTCCCTCCTCCTCCTCCTCGTTACTCCATGTTCACTCCTCTTCGCCCTCCTCTTCCTCTTTCTCCTGTTTGTCCTCCTCCTTATCCGTCTTTACCTTCTGTCCCATGCCCTCCTCCTCCTCCTCCTCCTCCTCCTCCTCCTCCTCCTCCTCCTCTCCACCGTTTGCAGCTACTCCTCTTCCTCCCTCCTCCTCCCCCTCCTTCTCCTCCTTCTCCTCCTCCCGAGTGTTCCCAGTGAGGTTTCCGGGAACGTATGGGCAGCTGTTCCCAAACGCCCTGGCAGGGATCGTGGCCCAAAGGGAACTCCACTTACGTCCCAGAAAGAAGGTTCGCGTGGCGTCTTCACGCCCACGTCGGCGCACCCCCCACACAGATCGCGCCCCCTAGGGAGTTCCACCGACGGTTCCAACAAGAGGGATCGCGTGTCGTCTCTCCGCACATACCGGCACACCCCCGACGCGGGCCATGCCCCGCAAGGGTCTCCACACACGCGGATCACGCTCCGCAGGGAGCTCCACGCACGGCCTCAGTGGGCGCGCCTGCGCGGCGGCCACCCCCTCCACGCGAAACGCGCCCCACGGGGAGCTCGGCGTCCATGCGCGCGCTGACTCCGCAGCGGCCCTCTATCCAGTCTACCCCGCGTCGCGCAGCACGTGAGCAGAGAGATAGAGAGAGAGAGAGAGCGAGAAACAACAAAAAACAAGAGCGAGAGACAGAGAGAAAGAGAGAGAGAGAGCCGCGCCCTGCGAGAGAGAGAGAGGGAGAGATAATACAACCAAAAGAAAGCGAGAGAGAGAGAGAGAAAAAAAAGAGAGAGAGAGAGAGAGAGAGCCGCGCCCTGCGCTACACGCAGCTGCATTTGGGTGGCCCTTCGCCAGGCCAAGTGGCTGCTCTTGTCTCTTGCATGTACACATACACGAGCACAGGCGCACAATCGTGCAAGTGTACATATATGCGTGTATATATAGGCATATATACTTTCAAGCAAGCGGTGCAGAGGGTCTTCCAGCGTGAGCAGCAGATGGAAGTGCGCATCGCGATCGAGCGCTGTGGGTGTGTTGGAGGAGCTGTACATCCAAATGCAACATGCACGGCCAGAAGACGAGGATAAGACCCAACTCAACATGAACTGAATCGCGACCGTACATACGTACACATACATACACATAGAAACAACATCTGTGCCGATCATGCGGCGCCCCAGGAAGGGGCCTAGGTTTTGGACCACAGGCCTCTCGTAGATGTCCATCAAGGTTTCTTGGAAGTCTCTCAGAAGCCCTTGTAGGGCCTCCTGGCGGTCTCCTGGGGGGTTCCTGGGGGCCTCCTGGGACCTCTTGGAGGCCTCCTGGGGGCCCCTTTGGGGCCTCTTGGGGCCTCTTGGGGGCCTCTTTTGGCCTGCTTGGGGCCAAGGCTCGAAATTTGAAGTTGGTATTCTCCCTGTGGGGCCCCTCTTGGGCCTGTCCTGGGGCTCTCTTGGGCCCTCTTGGGGGCCTCCTGGGCCGCCTTGGGCCCTTCTTGGGCCGTCTTGGAGCTCTCTTCGGGGCCTCCTGGGCCGTCTTGGGAGCCTCTTCGGCCGTCCTGGAGGCTGCGAAAACCCAGGAGGCGAATCTACTAAAAATATACGTTTGCCCAAGAGAATGGGACGGTTGTTGCTTCTTGGGGCCCTCTTGGGGGCTCTGGTGGGGGCCTCATTGACGACTTGGGGCGGCTTGGGGCGCCTTGGGGCTGTCGCGGTGTCATCTGGAGCCGTCTTGGGACTCTCGTGGGGCGCTGGCGGGGGCCTCGAGGGCCAGTCGCAGCCTATCTTGGCTGGTCTTGGAAGATTCTCGGGCTGTCTGGCGCCTCGGGGGGCCGCCCGAAGAACGCTCCGGGGCGGGGGGCACCGTCGTGCAGGGGGGGGGCCGTCCGGGGCCCCTGGGGCAGGGATCTCCCATGCATGCATGTCTGTCTGTCTGTCTGTCTGTCTGTCTGTCTGTCTGTCTGTCTGTCTGTCTGTCTGTCTGTCTGTCTGTCTGTCTGTCTGTCTGTCTGTCTGTCTGTCTGTCTGTCTGTCTGTCTGTCTGTCTGTCTGTCTGTCTGTCTGTGTCTGTCTGTCTGTCTGTCTGTCTGTCTGTCTGTCTGTCTGTCTGTCTGTCTGTCTGTCTGTCTGTCTGTCTGTATGACCGTAGTATGTATGTCTGGAATTGTATGTATGATGTATGTTCTGAAGTGTGATGTCTGTCTGTCCGTCGTGTCTGCCTGTCTGTCTGTCTGTCTGTCGGTCGTCTGGCTGTCTGTCTGTCTGTCTGTCTGTCCTGTATGTATGTATGTATGATGTATGTATGTATGTATGTAAATATATATATAGATATATATATATATATATATATATATATATATATATAGTATATATAATGTATATATATATATACACATATATATATATATATATGTATTCCTTTTCAATATTTTTACAATCCGGGGGGGTGGGACCCCTCCCCCCGGGAAATCGGACCCCCGGAATCTGGCGCTTTTGGGGCCCCTTGGACGCCTGGCAAGGGGGTCCCCCGAGCCTTCCGGGCCTCCTGGACGCCCCTGGCCGGCCTTCTGCATCTCTGGACGTCCCTAATGTCCTTGCGAAGCCTCTGCAGTGGGCTAGCGGGAAGCTCACAAAACGGCCCCAGAGCCTACAAGACACTCCAAAAGGCCTTCCAAGACGCTTCCGAAGAGGCCCCAAGAGGCCACAATTGTTGGCTTTCTCGCCTTTTCGGCTTTCCGACGTTCCAAGACGGCCCAAGAGGCTCCCAAGACCGCCGCAACACGGTCCAAGAGGCCCCCTACACAGCCCCAACACGGCCCAAGCGGGCACCGAGACGACCCAAGAAGCGCCCAAGAGGGCAACAAGGCCCCGATAAAGCTTCAAAAAAGGCCCCAGCGGGCGACCAAACATCCCAAGATCTAGCTTTCTGGTCCACGAGAGCCCCAAGAAGGCTTAAGAAAACCCCAAGAGGCGCCCCAACACACCCCCACGAGGCTCCGAGAGGCTCTAATCGGCCCCCAGGAGCCCCAAAAAGACCCCATGAGGCTTCAAATCGACTCCCAAGAGGCTTCACACCAGCTTCCCAGAAAAGCCCGAGAGGCGTACCACGCGATCCCCACAGGCCCCCAAAAGGCTCCCAAGAGACACGCCACACGGCCATGGAAGTCGTCCAAAAAAGCCCATGGAACTTCCAAAGGGCCGAAAGCTTCAGAAGGCCCCTCAAATCCCACAGTTCCGAGGACGGCCCAACAGGGCCCCAAAACAATCCAAACACCTCCTGCTGCTGGCCTCAGACTCGATTCCCGGTAACGAGAGACAGCACACATGTGTGCGTCGCAACAATATTCGGGAAATCCGTTGTGAACTTGGGATTCGGTGCACTTCCCGAGAAGATCGCACGTCGACGTTTGAGGCTCGAGGTTCGCGGGACAAGAGTCGAGAGAGGAAGGCGCAGATCACGGTTCGCAGCTCGACACTTCAGGTTTTCCTGAGATTTTCTATTCTTTCGGGGCCTCCGCTCTCTCGCCGCCACGTTGCAGGGGCCGCTTCAAAATTCAGTTCCAAACGCAATCCTAAATGAGCTTGCCGCACTTCAAGGCCAACATGGATGAGGCGAACAGCCATTTATGCTCGATTCGAAGGACCAAGGTGCATGGCGCGAAGCGCCAATGCAGTCTTGTGTATATATAGATATATATATATATGATACTCGTGGCACCCCGCAATTGTGGATCAGAATGAGGGGGCGGGCCCGGGCGACGCGGGCGTCGAGCCGGCGGACCTCGTGGCCCTCTGTCGATGGCGCCATCCTCCTCCTCCTGCTCCTCCTCCTCCTCCTCTTCCTCGTCCGCGTCCTCGTCCACATCGTCGTCGTCGTTGTCCGCCTCCTCCTCCTCCTCCTCCACCTCCTCCTCTTCCTCCTTTTCCTCCTCCTTCTCCTCCAGAAAACCAATGCGAGCAAGCCCACCGCAGGCGCCGATTTGCATGCTTGGCTTGTTCAATGAACGTAGTTTGGGTCGCGGGTGGGTCGCGAGCTCTCCACCTCGACCTGGAAGGAATTCATCAACAGCCCGCCGCAGGCGCCGAAAATTTTGACTTGCACACTGAACGCGGTGTGGGTCGCAGGTTCTCCACCTGGAACCAATGCAAAAGAAACCCGCCGCAGCCGCCGAAGTTTTGGTTTGTTCAGTGAAC